ACCTTGAAAATCGAAGCATAAAAATACAGAATCGCATCTTATGTAAGCCAAATCTGTATATAAATTACAATCCATCTGCAACCAGACAACTTCTATGGATAATGCTGACACTATAAATAAATAAACCAGAACCAAATGAATAGTTCCAAAATATTCAAATAAGTCAATGGCACAAAATAAGTTGGCCTCATCGACAATCCCAATCTTAAAATCTTATATCGGAAAGGCCTAGCCTTCATTGAAATTCACAAATGCTCAGTGACCCAGGGGCACTTGTGGCAATGGGGCGTGGTGGAGACGTTTTCTTGATAATACGCACCCTAGCCTGGTTCGATTCCCGATGAGTGCGCATATATAAGAACTGTCCCTGAAAAGTATCCATGTTTTATGATGTAATTGATATGAGCGACCTCAGGGCTCAGGAACATTTAAATTACTTCTCAGAGTAAGACCTGAGGTTAAAACCACAGTCCATAATAAATGAAAATAACTTTTGTAAAACAATTTTAGCTGGAATTCAATGGAAAAATGAGGCCTGTTCATAACATTATAGGAAAAATTCTATTATTGATCCTTTATCACTTTATGTGAACTAGAGCAAGTGGGACTCATATAGTGCGAAAATATCCTTGTGAAACCAAAGGGCCCACCTCTGGAGTCAATACGATAAGGGAATATGAGGTAGTAGAATATAAAAGAACAGAGATACCAAAATTGTTCCCTAGAGAGTTGGTCAAGAGATAGAGTTGTCTCTTTAACGAGTTGTCTTGGCCCTAAGAGCAGCAGGACAGTGATGATGTCGACTGTAATGCAGGGTGTGTTCAAGAATGCACCAAGGCCATGGTCCGACTAGAAATTATCATGGCACCTTTGATAAAGGACTTGGAACAAGGTGTGTTTAACAAGGTCTCAATAGAAACGCAAAAAAATTGCAAAAATAAGGAAAAACCGAAAGAAGACTGCGACTAAAATAAGAGATGCGGTATCTTGGTGTTCATAACTGTTTGTTGGGCTGAAAAAAATTAAATCGAATTCAATAACATCGAAAATCCTCTAGTGACCTGAGATTAATCAAGCTTATAGGAAAATGAATCGTCTTATTCATAAACTCCAACCCATGCACAAATAAAGTTGAATTTATACATTCTATATGTTTCAAATCCCGAGCAAGTGGTTGTGTGGACACATATGGCTTATTTATCATATACATGTCATTTAAATGAAGGGTTTACTTTTGCTTCAACTAGGTGATGCAGACAAGTGGCCACCTCTTTAAGGATGCCTTCATATAATACTTCGTCGCTCCGGGTGAACGAGAGGCGAGCCGGAGCGAGCACGCATATCGGACCCAAACGAGACATGAGAAGCGAATGGAGCTCTGCAAGAAAGAGTGAAGCAGACTCGCTAGTTGTCTGAGGTGCAACTAGAATCTGCTTGACGAACCAGGCCAACACGGCACGAAACCCGGCAGCATCGTTGGAGCTCAGACAAGCCTCAATGCAGCTGATAAGAGAAAAGATCAAATCCTAAAATAAAATGAATGGTTGAGAAATGTGCAAAGAGGCAGAATAAGTAATGTCGACGATAACGTAAATAATTTAAGCATTGAAAATTTTGCTTTTTACAAATATGGCATAAAGTTGCAAATACATGGAAAAAGCAAGACGTCTTTGATGGATTGAAAATATTTAAGATTTATGCATCTAACCCTAGGAGTCAAACCTATTAGCAAGTGAGTAGCCAGCACCTTGATTGATGGAAATTTCAAGGTAATTTTCGGCTTAATGGATCCAAAAACAAGTAATGGATGTCGTATGACTATAATGCTCATTTCATTTTAACACCTGTGAATATAAGGTAAATTAAGCCAAATAATAAATCAAGATTTTTATTTTTCTAAGCCAAACAGTAAAAGACCATTTTAAAAATTGGTTGGAATTTCTTTATCGATTGAGGTTCGCTTTCGTAATTAGACATCCAACTTTTAGTATTGGTGTTTGAGGCATAATAAAGCATGCATAAAAAATTCTTTACCAAAAGTAAATTTATGAGAGAAGTGGTACAAAATTTAATCTTGTGACCAGTATATTAAAGAATTCTGGGCAAAAACAGACAATGTGCAAGACATTTACTAACTTGACTCGTTTGAGGTTGCGAGAAGATAAGGCCATGGGAAACCTCCATACTGCCTGATCTATCTGTAAGAGTTTGTATAAACTTTACAAAAGTATGTCGAAGAAACTTGAGTCCTTGTAGCAGATTAAGTTGAGAGGGATCAGGGGTCACAGCCATTACCCTAGCTAGTCCAAAAAGAAGTTGTGGCAGACATGCAGATACGAAGGATAAACTATGCTCCTATGAAAAAAGAGGTGAAACAGAGATAATAAATGAGTGACTCACAAAAATTTCTGGTTAGTGAAAAAAAATTAATTCGTTGAAATCAATGTACTTAAAACAGTCCAAAGCTAGATTGTCTTAAGCAAATATTCAAGAATTTTATAATATAATTGGTGATTCATAGGAAATTCATCAACCCATATAACAACGCCTGATCTTGTACAGAAAGCTAGGCTCTCCTAATATATACGGATAACATCGCTTTCGCTTTCACAATGCTCCATAGAAAATACAAAGCATCGTTATAGATACCATTAGATAAATAATCTCACTCATAGTGCTTCGAGGAGAGCATGATGAAACCTAAACACACAAAAAATGAGATGGGCTTAAAATCGATGAGCCCGTCTCCTGCAGAAATATAAATGTGCTTGAAAAGTGCACATTCTTGATGATCTAGTTCTTATGAGTGGCCTCAAGGACCACTACTACATACTGCAATTCGAAAAGAGACAAGTGAAGCCGATCATTTGACCAAACGTGGGCTAAACAGTTGTGGCATCTCTCCTTCTGCCTTGGGCTATTCATATTTTCTATATCCTTGTATCACGCCCTCACTGTTATAATTTTTTTACCGTGATTATTTAGATGTAGTGTGATGTGCCCTTTTGAGCGACATTCATGAAAAACCTCCACACTGGCATTCTCACTCCCTCTTTACGCTTGTGCTGGAAATGTTGATCAGTCTGCTATATTGTTTGGCGTGCCTCCTTCCCTAGGTCTTATCAGTTTCCCTGTTGCCCCGTAGAATCCAACTGCTATCTCCTTGGTTCAAGTATTTCACTCGACTCCTACCACCCGACCTGTGTTACTCGAGGCGTTATAACCCATCCCCTGCGTCTGGGTGACTAATTCGAGGCTCAAGCCTCTGAATAAATCTCATGTTCAAGCCTTTGCTACATGAACCACGTCTATGGTAAAACAGGCCTACTGTCAGTCAACTAGCTCCAGTCTCCGCCGCGTCTATCCTCTGTCTATCCTTAATAATACCAAGTCCATGACTTGCTATGCTATAGTCTCTTGTGTGACAACCCACAAACGTTGTGGTTCAACATTGAACCTAACCAAAGCAAGCATTACCACAATATTTGTGGGTTGGAACACAAGAGATTAGGGCAAAGCAAGTCATAGACCTGGTAT